TAACTAGACTCTGCAGGAGCTACGCTCGGTGCGACCTACGCCATAGTCACATAAACCGGAAGTCTGACTTCTCTTTGTTTACTGGAATGGTTAAACAGTACATCTCTGTTTTTATCTTTGGTGCTTGCAGTTTGAAGTCCACATCGATCCAAAGGATCTTCGAGTCGACACATTCAGATCTCGTGGTCCTGGGGGGCAAAGTGTTAACACAACAGACAGCGCAGTGCGCGTAGTTCATCTTCCGACAGGTAAACTGTACCACCATGCCGTTTTGCTTCCTCAAAGATTGTATAAAATATGTAGCCACTGTGATGTGCTCTTTCAAACCTCACTCACACACTATGGGAGGTGCTCTCTGTGGTAACCAATCATGGAAGCTCCTCCACCACCTCGTGTTCTCTGGATTGACGAATCGATGGATGAGTCTGGCTTTGGCGGTTGCCTGGAGACCAGTACTTGCATTGTGCCAAGTGTAAAGTTTGGTGGAGGGGGGATTATGGTGTGGGTTTGGTTTTCAGGACCTGAGATCCAGTGAAAGGAAATCTTAATGCTTCAGCATACCAAGACATTTTGGATAACTCCATACTTCCAACTTTATGGAAAGATTTGGGATGGCCCCTTCCTGTTCCAACATACACGTGTGAAGGCAGACAAGCGAATGCTTTTGGCAATATAGTGTACATCACCTGACTGCCCTACTTGTATGGCCACATGATTTGAAGCTTCATTGTTTTGTGTGTTGCCATGTTAGTGTTTTTGGAACCCAAAGGGATCAAATTTTAATGTTGAGTGCCAAGTTGTCATCTAAAGTTTGCCTAATACATTTATGATCCATTTATGCATCACTTAACACATAAAGCAGATACAGCAGGTCTTTTCCTCTTTGCAGGAATAACTGCAGAGTGTCAGCAGACTCGATCTCAGCTGCAAAACAGAGAAACGGCCATGCGCATGTTGAGAGCCAGGCTCTACCAAGGCATGATGGGTAAAGAGACTGAACAGAGGAATACAGCACGAAAGCAGCAGGTGGGTGAAGCAGGAAAACATAACCTGTAACATTCACAGATTTTTGTTCTCTTTTCCAACTTTGTCATTGTTCCTCTGTGTCTAAAAACAGGTGGGCACACGCTCTCAGTCAGAGAGAATTCGTACCTACAACTTCAGTCAGGATCGTGTCACAGACCACCGCACCGGATATACAACGAGGGACATCAAGGTTAGGTTTGAAGCCAGTGTTATCTACTTCAGCTCAAGGGTAAAAATCAATGTTGTGTGTTTTTTCATGTCTGTTTTTAGGAGTTCGTGAGAGGTGGGGAGGCTCTCGATGATCTGATCTCTGATATACTTGAACACACAGAGAAGGAGGCTCTTCTCGAGGCGGCGGAGAACAGCAGCAGTTTGAAACGAACAGAGTCTGGACCGTCTGCAGACTGAGACCAACAGCAGCTTATGGGAGATGTGCTTCCTGACATATCTGACTGCTCTGTGCCTGCAGAACACATGTTATTCTATTATTTGGGCAATTAATTGCAAATGATGCAATGTAAGACAAACCAAAAGTAACAGAGGTTTTTATTTTTGTAATAAAATGTAACTTGTGTGTTTTGTGCCTTTGCAGTTTTCTAAATAACACTAAAGATTAAGGAGGGAGTAACATGGTATTTAAACTTGAACACCTTTAACAGGCCTATCATTACAGTTTTAGCTAATATGGGTTTTAAAACTGCTGCTTTTTAAAAATAATGAACACACTGAATCACACTTACTGGCCATTTTATTAGGCACATGTGTTCAATCAGTGTCACTGGGCAGTTACTAGACAGATTCTCTATAGGGAGATGACAAACACTCTCAATTCAAAATACCATCCCCCAAGTAGAGACCGTTTAACAAATCATTTGGTCCCTGTTTGGTATGAGGTTGAAAAGCGCAATCTGATCTCAGATCTGAAACATGTCACAAAGGCAGTCATTACAGCTGATGGATGGACAAGTTCTACTCAAGACCATTACCTCACTGTAATGTTGGTACTATGTCAGATGAGGCCAGAATAAGGAAAAAGTCCACAAAATAAGGCAGTCTATGAATTACAGATGGGGACATCTGTGGCAGAGAAATCCTGGAGGAGTTTGGAGTAAAAGAGAAGGTTGTGGCATGCATGGATGTAGCTGTGAAAAAGGTGAAATTTATCAAGCTGCCACGTTTTGCACACACACTAAATCTTGGACGCCGAAAGCTGTACAGCTGCAATACAGTTTCCAACTGGACAGGAAGGATTCATTCTGTGATCATATGGATGAAGAGATCCCACATGGCAAGAGTAATCCTCAAGGAGAAGCAGTAACTTCTTGGTATGAATACTTTTTAAATACTTGAATAAAAGTCAGCCAAAATGTAAATCAACAGATTAGGATCAATATAAAATGATAACATCATGTTTGTGATGATGGAGAGATTCTGTCAGCAGTTTTCAGCCATCCAAACTGCAGCTGTAGACCTCTGCCTAAGAAAGCCCATCAAGAAGGAGAAGTATATAATCTTTGGGGTATATAAAAATTGGTTGCTTAAACATATTAACATATTAAAATGTGTTTATTATTTTTTTTTATATTGCAGACTTGGCAGAATTGGCAATGAGGACATGCAGAGGAGTTTCTGGTGCTGATGTTGAAGCATTACATGTCCACGCTTGCTGTGTTTAGTGAAAAAAGTCTGACCTGTGGCCAGAGACTGCCCATCCTTCTGCAGCAGAGAGTGGATCAAGAAGTCCAACTGCATAGAAGTCTTTTTCCCATTCCAATCAAGGACAGTGCCACAGTCTGGTGGTGGATGAAGAAGGACTCATTGCCACTGTTATCAACTTTAGCTGAGAAGTGTCTCTGTGTCCAAGCCTTCTCCACCCCAACTGAGAGATCTTGTATCCTTTCTGAAATAGAAAACATGCACATTTTTCACTCAAAAACTGTTAATTTGCAAAAGTTCATAATTGCAGTTGGATTTTATGTTAAAGTGTTCATTTGACAGAGGAACTTTTATTTTTTAAACCAGCTTTAATTTTGTTTGAGTCGAATACAAATTGTTGATGTATACTTGATCAAATCAAATCACTTTTATTGTCACATCACATGTGCAGGCACACTGGCACAGCA